TGCTGGCAATGGCAGATGCTTTACTGGTCCTTGAGTTCCATAATTTGACATGTCGTAGAAGTTTGGTTTAATCTTTAACTGGTGAGATGGGATATACTCTCACAAGAGAGTTTATTTGTAGTTGTTTTTATGGATTCCCCCCCTTCCCAATATGTTCTTGAATGGAATAGGTAGTGCTATTTTAACAATATAGCAATATGTAAACTATGAGAGCTTAAACATCAATTTTGTATTTGTCACTGTGACCACTGTATTTTCAAGAGATCACAGTTCCTTAAATACATTACTCATGTATAAGTAATATCTTGAAAGACAACTTGTATTAACTATTTTAATTTTAAAATAAAACAATATCAGATTTCAGAAAACTATATCTCAGTTGTACCTTATGTTAGTGAGATCATTAAAAAGGAGATGATGTAACAACTCAACTGCAATTCAAGATTGAGCGTTATGTTGTCTGTATACCAATGTGCAACTGAAATTTCTGAATATAACCATGCCAGGTTGAAAATTAAATATGTGATATAAATAAAATTACTTTTCTAGATACAGTTTCTTACTATCAAGTGAAACTCTTAACTGCAAGTTTTAACTTTAGTTGTTATAAACTAAGTCAATACAAGCAATACAAATGAATACTGCAAAAAAATATCCCAGGAGATAGTTCTGCAGTTATGAATTCTAAAGGCAACTAAATGCTCAAAATTTATTACTTAAAAAAATCATACAGGTAGTCCTTGACTTACAACAGTTCATTTAGTGACCATTCAGTTACAACGGCACTGAAAAATGTGACTTATGATCATTTTTCAGTTATGACCTTTGCAGCATTCCCATGATCATGTGATCAAAATTCAGATGCTTGGCAACTGGTTAATATTTATGATTGTTGCTGTGTCCCAAAGTCATGTGATCACCTTTTGCAACCTTCTGACAAGCAAAGTCAATAAGGAAGCCAGATTCACTTAACAACTGGATTATTAACATCAACTAGAGTTAGCTGTGGTAAGAAAGGTCATAAAATGGGGCAAAACTCACTTAACAAAGTCTCACTTAACAACATAATTTTTTGGCTTACTTGTGATCATAAGTCGAGGACTACCTGTATATGTCTTTAATTATTATATTTCTGTTGAGAAACTGAACTGACAAAAGTGTCAACAACTATTTCTTCTTTTGTAAAATGAAGTTCAAGTAATATTATTTATTTCAATATTGAATGAGGAAAACTTAATATACAGTACATACCTCCACAGTTATAACATAAAATGTAAAGGGATATCTTCATAAAGAATACATTATTGGATAAAAGAACTTTTTATTTTTCCTTAAAATCATTGTTCAATCTCAACTGTTATCAGTATGTTCATCTACATTTCTTAAATGAGTGAATACTAAATTCTGATAAAATACACTTGCAGGCAGATATAAATACTGTATTTTGACCCATGAATCATCCATACAATGGTTTGTAATCTGTGAAACTTTGAATGATAATAAATTTGATAACCTTAAAAGTTCTACAAGCTTATCTTCTTTATTGTTACTGCAAGAAATTAATATGGTTACCGTCTGAGGAGTAAAAGAATAATGTAGTAGTTTTATTAGCAAGTAAAATAACACAGCATCTTTTTAGAAAATTTGACTAGCATACAGCCTGCAACTCTGTTTCACGCTAAAAGGTTGGTGCTTAGAGTGCTAAGTGAATAGAATAGGCCAGCCTCACATTTATTTCATTTTTAAAGCATTTTAATATTGCTATATATGCCAGGCATCTGGAAATATTGGTTAGGATCCATATGAGTCTGAATAGGATGCAATGGGCTTTAAATCAAACCAAAAAAAGTCTGAGCGACTTTGGTTATTTGGGTCTTCTGCTGATAATAAACCCCACCGTGGGTTCTGGAGTGGTGGCACTGCCCCAGAACACCTTGGGCAAAACCTGGGGGTATTCGTGGACTCATGTTTCTTCTTACAAGAGTAGGTGATGTTTGCACACCTTACGGTTGTACAGTATGCCAATTGCACCTGTTTCTGGACAGGGAGGTTTTGTTCACACTCACTCATGCCTTTATGACTTCCTGTCTGGATTAGTGCAATGTGCTCTAAATGGGGTTGCTCTTCAATGTTTGGAAGCTTTAACTGGTGTAGAGTATGGCTGCATGGATAGTAAATGGTGTTGGATATTCAACACATGTAACACCACTGCTACATGAGTTGTACTGGCCAAGAGGGTGCTTCCAGGTGCAATTCAAGGTGCTGTCACCTTTAAAGCTCTTCACATCATGGGTTTAGATTTCCTAATGGATCATCTTCTATCCATCCAATTTGGTCTGGAAATTTGGCTATGGCACAGGTCCCATCAGCCAAAGAATATTGGCTGGTGGGGATTAGGAGACATGCCTACTCTGCCATGGCCCCTGCCCTCTGGGACATTCACCCTTCACAGATTACGATGAAGGCCAAGTAGACCTGGTTATGTCCCTCGGCCTGGGACCTGAGTATGTTAAATGTCCCATTTCTTGGTCATTGTAAGGACCCACCCCACTTTGCATCTTAAGAAGACAGAACTCTTGGAATAATTCTTCCAACAGGAATCCTTTATTAAGAGAAAATGGTTGCAGGCGTTCTAGACAGGACTTGGGGTCCAAGCTCTCCAATTCAAGGTTTTAAGGGTTTCCCCAGTAGCCCCAATCACCCCCTTCTTCCAGCAACAGTCTCAGGCATTACACTTCCACCCCCTTTTCATTACTGCCCGGCTGGATGGAGACTTCAAAGAAACTACATGAAAGGAAAACGGCCCCATTCTTATGGTTAGTTCTTTTGCAATACACACATTCAGTTCCTTAGAAGTATACTGAAGGAAGTGAGGGCCATAAAGCCCCTTTGTTCTCCCCCTTCTCTCCCTCTTATGGCAGAATCCAGAGAAGGCAGAATTGGAGTTTTCTATATTTGATAACTAAAGATAACATCTATCTTTAGTTATCAAATCTATTAACATCTATTGCACTGGTTTTATATATACACATACATACATACATACATACATATATACATACATACATACATGTTTTAATTGTTAAACATTTTATGACCTATCTAGTCCAGAGACACTTGTTTAGATAATGTGCAGAGATAAAAAGCTTCTGATACTTTTTAAATTTTATGATATAGACTCAAAATGCAGGACAAAAAGCAAATAAGGCATACTGCAGTGTTTATTATATAAGCAGTATGGGACCCCATCAAAAGGATATTGAGAGACAGCCCTGCAAACAAAAAAAGTGCGCTGATATTTATACATTTTAAGAAACTAGGGAAAATGATGCAGGTATACATATGCATAAGTAATAGGTAATATAAATATACATATTCATAAGTTATAGATCGCTGGTGACTTCTTGTCCTTCTATTGCTATTTTCAAAGAGAACAAATGTCTTACTAAAAGGAGGAAGCTCATGAGTTGCCATGGAAACGTTCTGCTAAAACTTACAATAGGCTCTGATGAGAGTCAACTCCAAGGCTAAATTCCATTTGTTTCCATTTGGTTTAATCTGTCCTATTCATTTGAAAATTCACTTTCCCTATTGAGAATTCTTTCCCCACAGTGACATAATGCATCTGAATATTGTCATCTCGGAACATGATCATCCATGATATATTAACCTAAAAAGAGGTAACCTTTTATATTTTTTTACAGCTGTTGTGAAAAGGAAGAAACAAGAAGCTAATGTGGGCTCATGTGTGTTGGTAAAAAGTGAAGAGTTAAATAGTTAAATAAGATCTGTGGTGAAGAGAAAGGATGGATCACAAACCATATTAGGTTAAGAGCTTTACACCTGGTGAAAACATACTAGATCCAGAGCGGCCAAAATCACTTAAGCGTTTTAAGGGTAGGCAAGGACAAGACCACCAAAGGTAGATGGAGAGACTATCTACTGTGGATCCTGATAGAGAAAGAGATGGTCTACTTTGAGGGATCATGTTGTGCTAAACACGAATGGTAAATATATTACCTAAAAAACTGCTATGTACTGTATACAACTAGGTAGACTTTATCAGAAGCAGATGTTTTGTGGGAAGATGGATTAGTGGAGGAAAAACAAGAAAAGATGATTTTAATGCCTTAGCATGTTCACTGCTTGACTTAAAGGGAACCATAAAGTGGCTCTATTTGGCTTTGAGTTCAAGTGGCAGTCAGTGGCACAAGACATTTGTTCAGGTGAGAGAATGGATTCAATTGAATATGAATATGAATATTAGAAGCTAATGTTCAAGGCAGGGGAAATCAAAGCTAAAAGAATTTAGATATTTCAGCAAAAAATCATACTTAATGTGTCTCAGAAAAATTCTAAGAAAGCTAAACGTTTTGGAAGGTTTTCAAAAAGCTCAGTTAAAATGTTATTGAAAATCTGTGGGAAGATTTTACACATGGTCTCCATGCAAGGAAACCTAAGAATATTTCCCAGCTAGAAAGGTTTGGTAAGAAAGAGCTAGCCATAGGAAGTTTAGGACATTATTATTTCTGAAAAGGGGGTGTTACAAAATACTGACTGAAAGGGTCCAAGTTTCTGTACCTGTCATATTTACTATTAATTTATTGTGAATCTGTACACAACTGAAATAGCAAGTATGCATCAACATTTGCAGAAAGGTGTCATGTTTAACTTTTTCTCCTGCTGAGGTTGTTTCAACTTCTGTTCATTTTAGGCATTCAATAAAATATACAATTTAAGCAGAAGTGAAAATATTTGCATGCAGCTGTTCATATATTTCCTGTAGCAACTGAAATGGAACAGATTGGATTGCTAGATAGCATATGCCACAGGATAAGAAAACTATACTTTTTTAAATTAAATGTTACTACCTTCCATGGGTAGATATGGATAGTAAGTTCTTTCTATCCCAGTAATTATAGTTATTTTGTGAATTACATAAATCCAAACAGTAAAAGAAAACAGGCATTCACACAAAATAACACTAGACAATTTAGAAGTATTTTACAAGCAAAATATTTTACTGCTTCTTCCCTTCTTATTCAAGAGAATAAATGTACTGGTTTATATATAAACTGTACATATTGTAAGCAAAACCACATTTCAAAAATTATACTGTACATCACTAAAATCCTGGAAACCATGTGCCTTATGAGGAAGCAATTGTCAATGATAATATTAAAATCCTTATGCCTGTAGCAATAAATATGTGCATATTTTAATCAACCCATTATATCATTTGGTGACAAGACCCCTCTGTGTTGGAATTTATGATATTTTCCTGAAGATACCTGCTTCCCAATCTATCATAGGTCACATATAAAAACTATATTTTTGCAAAAAATAATTCTGCCAGAATGTAGATGGTACAGATATGTAACCCATTCAAGCCAGTGCAAGGTGGGCTGACAGCTATCTTCTGATGAGTATTTTGATGCTTATCAGATTTATGCCAGTAATATCTCATCCAACAAATAGTATTTATTTTCTTATCTATGCATGCTGAAGCCTGCTTCTATGCTCACAGACATTCTCTCTAGATCAAGGCACTAGAATATAAAAAGAGTTAAAACAGCTATTATGTTCCTTCTTATCCCAGCATCATGAATCTACTTACTTACAATTGTAAAGTCAGAATGATATTTTTGTCTGCTTTATTTTTCTATGTGTACATGCACCACTACATTCTTCGAATTATACAACCAGTAATTCTTATCCTCTTCCTGTAATGTTGACTCAGGACTAAAATACAATTTTTCTAGATTGTAAATACAAAGAAAATTAAATACCTTTGGTAAAAAATAGATATATTTAACAAAATTAGAAAAACAAATTGTTATGCCATAAAAAAGAGTATAAAAATGTACACAACAAAAATATAAACAAACAAAAAAACATTGAAGGCACTAGTCGGAGGAATAAAGATACTTCATTGGCTTCAATCTTCTCCTCCCTGCTCATATATACTGACCAGGCATTTTTGCTAAATGACAGGAACCTGACTGGGAAAAAGCATAGAAAATTGTCCAGTCTTTTTTACATCTATAAGTGAAAATTGTAAGTTTAACTCAGAATAACACAGTTTTTAAGCAATTAACACTTTAATTTAGGATGTTTAGGAGTTGCTGCAATAAGTGAAGTAAGATTCCAGATGTTTAGAATGATAAGCCAGAAGTAACTGACCTGCAGAAGGAAGACTATTAGAAGAGTTCAGGCTTTGAGCATTTCTAAACTTAAATCTTTTAAAATTCAGGATAAGCAAGAGAGATGATATTATATATTTATATCAAGGTGGAGGAAAAAAATCCTCATTAATGCCTTCTGCCCATAGTTTTAATGGGCTTTCATGTGCTGTTACATTGCATGCATAATCCCAGTTTCATTTCTTCTCTCTTCATCTCCCCAAAACCATCAAGCTTGAACACAGAAGATTTTCAAAGGAAATAACTGAGATTATACAAGAAGATTAATGCACAAGGCCCAGAACATAATAAGCCTCTAATTCAATGTGCTGTAGAAGAAAGAAGTTCCTTTTATCCTTCTGTATTCCCTTTACACACGCAGTCACACTCCTCATGATGATCCAAAGGGACATCTGTCAGAGATTTATGCAATCCTCTTACACCACTTCTGGGTTTCAGTTGCAGGACCTGCAAGGGAACAGTTCAGCTGTCATTTTAAATGCCATTAAAATAAGCAAATTGTTATATAAAAAAACATATTCTTATATTAGAAATCAGTTCTCTGTGACAGATACATATTCATCCTGCAATCATATTCATGATTTATATATATCTTGGCCCATAAAATAGTTTACCAAAGAAGGCTTTGGCTTCTTTGTTCCAAGATTTGCAAATATAAATCAATATAATAACTGAATTAAATTTCTAAAATTCTGATCCTCATAAATTCGAGTTCCCAATTAGTATTTAATAATGAAATAAGTTACAAGCAAAAGCTTATCCTAGTTCAGATTACAGAAGTTAAGATGGGTAGCCATCAATCAAATCCTTACAGATGAGGACTGTAGTTGCTTCTACATGTTATTTCCTAGCAAATTAGCAGTTGGAAGCAACAGTAGTTAGAAAAATAAAGGACTTATTAAAGTGTCAGCTTGTCAAGACAAGAAAAACTGCCTCAAAAAATTATTTATAAGTTGAAATCTACCAAATATTGCCATCCAAGCTGACAGTTTGCTAATTATATTATTATATTTTTCCTTGGCCCCCCTTTTTTTAATACTATACCTCATGATACTTTTTGGTGACTTTGGTAGGGACACATTGGCATTCACTGCAAGAATGTTGACAACAGGCACAATTTCCACCACAGCGTTTAACCAACAGACAAAGTGGCCAAAAAATGGTGTCTGTTCGTTTTAATTCCTCTCGTACCGACACTGAGAAGTTGCGTGGAGTACAGCTATACATTCTTACTTCCTCCTTCAGCAGGTTCAAATCTACAACTGAACAACAAGCCAACATTTATTGTAATTTGTTCATGAAATTCTTTCAGAAAAACAATGTAGAAACAAGAGCTATGCAAATATTTTTAAGAGACACCTACCATGCCAATAGGTTTTTCTATGGTTTAGTGAACTTGTGAATTTCAAGATATAACTTATACAGTTGTAATATTTTTCTGAGTTAGGAACCTACCAATAAAATTAATACGTCTATGGCTGTAAGTATCTATTTACCTTCTGATGTTTATGTACATAAGTATTTATACTGGAAAGATGGAACTTCAAGATTACTGATGGCCAGTCAAGAATGAATGTTTCTTTCTCTTTTCCCTTTCCTTTTCTTAGATGGCCTAATCTGATGCCCTTCAGATATGGTGGACTTTGGTATCAATAACTTAAGCCCATAAGAAGGAAATACGCAAGTTTGTAGATTTTAACTACAGTATATATCATGTTTCAAAATACATTTTAAAAAGTGGGGTTCTAGAAAAAAGTCTGCCCCTGGATCAGTAGAATGTATTTTTTTTCCTGTTGGTAAAGGACAAGGTAAGAGAGATCTCTGTTTTAATCTCATGATTCTATGTAGCTTTGGTCATATTGTGGCCTATTTTAATTTTACTTTTTAAATTAGATTTTTTTTAGGAGTATAAATTTCTTAAGAGACCACAACCTCAAAATCTAACCCTATTATTGATTCTATATTAAAATATCTGGATTAGCCAACTGGATTTTATGCTTTATCAAAATGTATTATACTGAAATATATAATTGTAGCACTTTACTTCACATGGTATTGACCAGCTGTTTCACAAAGTGCTTGAACAAGTCTCTTATGTGAAGAAGTGGGGGAGAAATCATTTATTCTTCTTATCTTTCTGATATGTGTCTTTTAAGAATTTGCAGGACATAATGCTAGCTTTGTGTATTAGTAAATGTTTATATTCCTATAAATATTTACTTGGCCAGAGAAAAAGTTAATAGATCTGTGAAAGAAACTCAACTGAAAACTGTATTATTCTGAAAAAAATTGAACTGGTTCTCATTCATTCACCAAGTTTAACATGCTAGTCAAACAATTTAAAAAGGGGAGGGGGGCTTGTTTGCAATGGCAATGTAACTTTATGATTCAGAACTATTACCCGAAAACTAATTCCAATCCAAACAGGGTAATGTTCATACTAGATAGGTTAAAAAAATGCTTCTCACAAACTGTGAAGACTAGCCCCAGGAACTATGGCTTTCAATGTAATTTTTTAAAATTAAAAAGAACCCAAACCCTTCATTTCTGCAATAATTCTGCATGTCAACAGTGAATACCATGTCATCTCAACGGGGCACATTTTCTGCTTTAGGCTATTACATTTCAAACTTGGTAATGCAGTTTGAGGGTGGTCCTTTAATATGTCTGTCACAATTCTGTGATATGTTTATTCAATGGCAAATCTACTTTAGTGTCTTATTCAAATACTTTTAAAGATTAGTTCAATATTGTTTTCTTTTGGAAGTTGATGGGAAAATCATTATTTCCTCATATTGCTTTTTAAAAATGGAATGCCCATGCTTCATTTGGCAAGAATGCAAAGTGTCTCCCCACATAAAAACATACATAATGACATTAATAGTCATATTCCATAAAAGTGATACTTTAATCAAAAAGACATCACATATGTATTTTAAAATAAATATGTTCAAGAACAGCAGTACTTCACTGAAGAAATTAAAAATCAAGATGCAACTAAAATATGACAGCTATATCTTTATTCTGCGTTTCAGACTAGTCAAACATCTACAAGTGAGTTTAGAGAAATTTGCTTATTCATCATTCCAGGTAATATTTTAAGTTTATTGTGATTTTAAATTTCGTTTGAATACATTTTCCCCCCACATAACATTGTGTGTGTTTCCTGTTTCACTTACTGTAATTATCAAATACATTAAGGCAGTATTTTTGAATTCACACCAAAAAGCAAGCCTCTGGAGCAGAGTGAGATCTACTTCTAAACAGACATTCACAGGTCTTCTTATAAGTATGCAGCAGTATTGCAGCATATAAGAAAATTTTAAAGGCAACCAAAAGGAAACTATTTTCCGGTGCACAATGCAGGTAAGGGACATGTTTTAACATGAATCTGTCCTACTGATTCCACAGTGTACCTTATCTAATGCTTTGAATGACATGAATCCTGTGCTGAAAAAAATGGAAGACAAACAGGTAGAACAAATCTGCCCTGAAGGATCAGTGCAGCTGTGCCTCATGTTCCATCGCTTAGAAAGATTATTTTACTAGTCAGGGGAATAGTTTTGTTTTGTTTTTAATTATGTTTAAGAGTATAAAGAAATAACTGCTGGGTTGGATTTAGAATCTCTCAGTCCACAGTAGCTTCTACTTAGCTTACACTCTATAGCTTTAGATGGATTAATTTCTGGGTAAGGGCCACAGGTTTTCAGTTCAAAACATGTATACTCCATGGATTTATGAAATCCTAAAACACATAAAGAAGTCAGCAGAGAAACAGGTTAGACAAGGAGTGTCAGGATAGAAATCTATTAACTGGCAGTTTGAACAAACAAGGACTTTGCACTGAAAAAATATTTCAGTCCTCTTTTCTACTGGCTAAAGCACTATCATTAGAAAGTATGGGTAACCTTGGCAATCACTATCAATTATAGTGCTGGAGCACAGAGCATATAGTCATCTTCCCCAATCCTTGAATTGAGGATAATCATATTTATCATATTTATATAGCTGCCCATCCCTTGCCTATTATTGTGGCTGGACTACAATAAAAATAAACCAAAAGCAAACATTAAAATTATATAATAAAAAACATCAATATTAATTTTAAAAACTAGGAGAGAGCATCTTGAGATATACAGTGTGGGCATTTCAGCAATTCTGTTTTCCTGAGATCCCAAGCCTGCTGACTCTGAAACAAACTTAGTTATCCTCTGGTAAATAAATTCATTAACATTTATTAGACATTTCTAGAGAGTCTTATTCTACATTCTGAAAGTAGTAAACAGCTTCAAAATAATCATTTTACATACATATGCCATCAATTCATGGTTTCAGATATATACAATTTGGTTTTATCAAGGGCTTTGGATGTTCAATAAAAGAAAGAAGAAAAAGAGAAAAAAAATAGGAACATTACCTCTTGATTTTCTGCCATGAATGTAGGCTTTCCCCAGAAGGTGCCAACCTGGTTTGTATAGGTCTTCCAAATCTAACTGCCACCTGTCAGGCTCAAGGTACCTGATAAGTTCTTCTATGGTACTAAATGCAGCAACAGCATTGTTTAGCAATTCTAATGGTAAAGCTGATGGTGGCAACACTGTTGGACTGACTGATTCCATATGAAGCTACAATGAGAAAAAACAAATATTAATCTCTATATGGTGTATGTAATTAAGATACCTAATTGCAAAATATTATAAAAGCAAACATAAGAAAAATGAATTGCTGCACATTTATTTAGCATCCAGTAATAAAAATACTAGAAACTGGCTGTTCTGTACGTCATCCAGAAATTAAAGACTTCGTACTCTCACCTCCAAAAGCAATTGAAATCTCATCCTATTGTTTGATAAACTGCTCCAGATTAAAGCTAAATGTTATACTTCTACAATGCATACAGTGTTGACCAACAGCTTGACTGATGGGAAAAAAATTTATTAAATGGGGATTAGAATGGAAAATCCTGCCTGTTAGGCCAGATACTGCAGCTTTAATTTTAGAAATATATGAGACGATTTCAGAAGAATATCAGCAGAATTGTAGAGAACTCTGTAGAGAACACTGTATTAGTCATGAGTGGACAAGAAAAGAAACTGCCAGGTTTTGTGGCAGTTATCTAGCAAATACAAATTATCCACCATGATAGCAGAATTCTAAGCAACACTAAGGGTTTGATCTATTCATTTTTTTCTACCAAATGTCACTTGTAAACTGCAAAGAGCAAATCAAAATGTGAAAATCAAGGAGATAAATACTGATGTTATGCTGGGACACTCATTGGAAGGAAAAAAAATCCCATAGTTATGATGATAAAAGAGGCAAAAACAGTGGCAGGAATCCAAAAGTTTGAAAATAAAATAATAATAAATATTGACATTTGGAAATGGGGAATGATATAGTTAAAATAAGACCATTGCCATTTTACCTCTCGTGTCATATATTTACCAAAAATATTCAAATATTTGAATATCTCATTCTTTTTATTTATACAAGTTTTTAACAATATCCCCCCCTGAAATAGCCCCCTCCCTCCCTCCCCCCCTCACTTCCCAGAGCTGGTTACAGGGTTACAAATAAACAAGCAAATTCTAAATAAACTTATCCAACTATACAAATAACAAAATCAATAATGTGCTTTAACTCGAATACAAAACAAATTTAAGCAAAAAAACAAAAAAATAGCAATATAAGCAATTCCAAATTAAAAACTAAAAATTATTCATAATCTAAATAATACTTTCTAATCCCATATCAACTCTAACCCATATTTACTCTATATGTAATTTATCCATCTTCTCCACGCAGAGGTGTATATTTCTTTTAAACAACCATTCATCCATAATAAACACAAAATTTTCCCTCCAATATAACCCAACCAACATACTTACATTTGATAAATTTAGCTCTTTGCTTTTTTCCCCCACCCCTAAGTAAATCTATTATAAATCTATTACCCTCCTACTTAAAAAGTTTCAGCAAACCATTCATCTTAATCACTAAAATTCTCACCAACAGAGATCCTTAGAATTTAAATTCTTTTACACATTTACCCATAATGTCTCATAATTATTTTTATACACTTTAAATTAAAAATTTATAATATATATACTCCCAAATATTTAAACTTCTCCACTAAATCAACACCTTCTATTATTCTTTTTCTTTACATCTACATACTACACAAATCATTCACTATTCCTTTAAAACATACTAAGTCAAACTACCAGCTAAACTAACATTTATTGTTCTTTTTCTTTACATCTACATATTACACAAATCATTCACTATTCCTTTAAAACATTTTCTATCTTAAAAAAAAAAACTACTACAAAAGTTCATCATTTCCTTTTCTTTATTCCAACATTCGCCTTCTGCTGTTCTTTTACTTTACGTCTATAGGCTGCACGAGTCATTCTCGGTTTTTTAAAAAAATCTTCTGTCTCAAGAGACTGCTGCAGAGGTTCAGCCTGTATGTCTCCTACATCCAATAACATAACACCTTCAACCAGCTGCTCTTCCAACTTTTCTTCTATTATCTCAGGTCGTAAAGATGATGGAGAGCCCGCCTTCAAAACAGAAGTGTAAAAATCTTTCACCTTTAAAATTGTATTAAGTCTACAATATATCCCCGCATAATTCACCACTATTCCAGCCGGTATCTCCCATCTGAACCGGACCTGTCGTTTTTTGAGCTCATCAGCCAAAAAAGCAAAATCCTTTCTTTTTCTAAGAATTTTTGAAGGTATTTCTTTTAAAATTATAACATCTTGAGCTGCAATTTGAAATCTCTGCTTATAAAAAGCCTGTAAAATTTCATTACGAAGTGATCTCCTAGAAAAATAAATAACCACGTCTTGTGGCAAATTCCTCTGCCTCGCAACCCTTGAATTAACCCTAAAAACTTTTTCCGTCTCTCTCAGTATTTCTTCAGGCTCAGCCCCCAAAATGAAAGCTATATCTTTTACCACCACTTGTCTCAAATCCTCTTGCATGTCTTCCTTCATTCCCCTTATTCTTAAAGCAAATTCCATGTCTCTATATTGTAACATAGTAATTTCATCCTGTATTATTTCCATCTTATTTTCTACTTTGTCAACTTGATCTTCCAGTTTTTCAAAATTTTCCACAGCATCATCAATACAATCATCCAGACGATCTATATGACCAACAAACTTTTGAAACGCGAACACTATGTCCTCTTTCAGTTCCCTAATTTTATTTTCAAAAAGTTCCTCCATCTCTTCTTTATTCTGTTGTGCCATATTTCCCAAGGCATCCTGTAAATCTTTAAGTATACATGCTGATGACGATAGAGAAGGTGGTGGTAACTTAAACTTAGCTTGCTGAGCTGTCTGCATTACCGGGAAGATCGAGGCTTTAAAAACAATAGAAGCTCCGAGACGCTTTGAAGCCATTTTATTTTTAAGACCACTTGTTAAAAAGTCTGCTAAAATCTTATAAAATCAACAAATACCAAAAAAAGAGGGGAGGAAAAAAGACAAAAGCCCCCTCAAAAGAAAAAAAAAGAAGATTCTTGCATTTTATATAAATACAAAATCTGTTACATTGTTCCAAATAGAAGTTCCAGTCCTTTCACTTAAAGAATCAACATCTCCGCCATTTTTCACCACTCTTAACTGAAAAAAGGAGAAGATAAATTCTTTTCCAGAGTTAAAGTCTCAAAATAATCACCATTTTAATCTCTCCTGGTCAGCTCTGTCTGCTTTAAATTTTACTCACAAATTCATTTTAAGCGCAGATGTGGAAGCAGCGTCTAGCTTTGCCCTGGATAAAAATCAGGGCAAAGGCATCCTTGAATGTGGAGGACATCTCAGACTCCGTGGGAGCTCTCACCCTCCGACCACCAAAATAAGCTTTGGGGTCTCGAGGAGCTCTACCACTATCGGAGGAAAGCTCACCTCCTCCCCTTTGTCCGGGGAGGAATATCTCATTTTTTAAAAAATGTAGAATGTTATATATATTTATTTTAGTATGTAAAACACATTTAAGTATTAGATAGCTTCAAATAATTTATGTCAGTCATAATACTATGTGTGAATAGGATAGGAACTAACCCATATGTAAATATGCTAAGTTAACAACTCCTTGTAGTGAAGCCAAAAATGACAATTAGTATTGGATTAAGTGGAATTTCCTGTTCTGCTATTTATACAATATTTTCCTGCATACATTTGAAGCTATCAAAATAGAGCTGGGTTCAGTACACAACAAACCTTTTTCCTGTAGGATCTTTGTGCTTTCACTAAAATCACCAAAATCTATACTCTGAAAGCATAAATGGAACACAAATACTAAAATAAAGATTGCCATGAGATAACGATTAATTAGTATTCAATAACTATACCCATGTCCCACAAAATACTCTTTACAATAATCTTATCAATACTACTGAATACATGGTTCCCAATCTATACATTATTATTTATACTATGTTTCAGTAGGAACTTGTCCAATCTTGAAAGCTAAGCAAAGTTAGCTTTAATTAGCATTCATTCATTCGTTTTTCACATTTTTGTGAAAGTTTTGAGTTGCCCATCTCCTGGTGTGTCTGTGCGTGTGTGATGGTAAGGTAAGGTAAGGTAAGGTAAGGTAAGGTAAGATAACGTAAGATAAGATAAGATAACCTTTATTGTCGTTTTTTTACTGTGGGCACAACGGCACACATCAAAAATGAAATTTAGTTGCCCGCTCTCAAAGTGAAACACATACATGACACACACTTAAACATACTATGAACATATGTATAGACCCACACCCCTACATATACGTAGCAAATAAATATTAAATACTGTCCATCTTGAATATAAAACAGAAGGAGGAAGCTTGAGAATTTACAAGGTTAATGCTGTGTGGAATGAAACTATGGCTGAATCTGGATGTTCTGCTACAGATACCACGAAGCCTCCTCCCAGAAGGTAACAAGGAAAACAAGTCATGAAGAGGATGTGTAGTGTCCCAGATAATCTTACGGACCCTGCTCAAGCAACGCTTCTGTGCTATGTCATGGATGGGAGGGAGGGAACTGCCAATGATCTTTTCAGCCATTCTCACCACTCTCTGCACCACCTTCCTGTCTGAAGCAGTGATGTTTCCAAACCAGACTGTGATGCTGTATGACAGGATGCTCTCGATCGTCCCCCTGTAGAAAGTGGTCAGGACAGGGGAAGGAAGATATGCTTTCCTCATGCGACACAGAAAATGCAGGCACTGCTGTGCCTGCTTTGCCAGTTTCTCACTGTTGAGCGACCAAGTCAGCCTATTGGTTAGCTGCACACCCAGGAATTTGATGCTGTAACCATCTCCACAGGTGAATCATTAATGCACAGAGAAGTGTGGCTATGCCTGCCTTTTCTGAAATCAACAATGATCTGTTTGGTTTTTCTGGTATTTAAAACTAGGCTGTTTTCCTTACACCAGTTCACCAGCCCAACCTCCTTGCGGTAAGCTTCCACCTTGTCATCCTGAATAAGGCCCACTACTGTTGTATCATCTGCGAACTTCACAATATGGTTGGTGGCAAACCTAGCACAACAGTCATGGGTCAACAGGGTGAACAGCAGTGGACTTAAGACACAGCCCTGAGGAGAACCTGTGCTCAAGAAAA